TGCGTGTTCTCCTGCTCTGCTTCCCCCTGTCTGCCTTGCAACCAGCCGTCCTCCTCAAAACCCGCGGCCAGGCATGGAAATGGCGTTAACACGGGGCAGGGAGCCCAAAATGGGGAAAAGCCTAAACTTTGAATGGTTTCGTGGGCAGCTGCTCGTTGTGTTGGTTGGTCGGAAGTGGGGCTGCTGGGCTACCTGATGCTCACGCGGCCATGTCCTGCTCTCCGGGACAGCCAGGCAGGAGTTGACCTGAAGGGTGGGTGGGTTGCGGTGGTGTTAAAGCACCAACTCTGCCTTATCCTTGGAAATCTGTGGCAAAGTCAGGCAACTCCAGAGATGATGTTAAAAGCTTTCAGAGGTGCTTTTGTACCCACTAATGCTACTGCCCACCATGATTTAATGTCGCCGAGCACCTGCTGGAATTTTTCACGACCGAAAGAACGCGGCTGGCTGTACCCGAAGCCCGTTGGAGGGGACGGAGGGCTCTGCTGACGTGTTTCCAGCAGCACCGTGGTGTCCCAAAGCGCTCACACCCCAGCTGCTTTGGGGTTGGAGCTGCTTTCATCACAGAATCACAGAATGGTTTGGGTTGGAAGGGACCTTAAAGATCATCCAGTTCCAACCCCCTGCCATGGGCAGGGACACCTTCCACTAGACCAGGTTGCTCCAAGCCTCATCCAGCCTGGCCTTGGACACTTCCAGGGATGGGGCATCCACAGCTTCTCTGGGCAACCTCTTCCAGTGCCTCACCACCCTCTCCGGGAAGAACTTCTTCCTGATATCCAATCTAAACCTCCCCACTTTCAATTTAAACCCGTTACCCCTTGTCCTGTCACTACAGGCCCTTGTAAAAAGTCCCCCCCAGCTTCCTTGTAGCCCCTTCAGGCACTGGAAGGTGCAATAAGGTCTCCCCGGAGCCTTCTCTTCTCCAAGTTGCAGCTCCAAATTGTAGCCATGTGCAGGGAGGGTGGCCGAGCGCTGCTGCCACATCAGCCTGCTCCTGGGGAAACGATCCAGCTGCACCTCGTGCTGTCCTGCGGTGCTGGAGTAGCGCTCAGGGAGGCTGAAGGAGCTGTGTGCAGGGCTGGGAATTCCAGGATCTCCAAGCGTAAGCTGACAGAGCAGGCGATGCTGTGCTGGCATGTCCCACTGGGCTCTGTCGGAGCTCCTGTCCGGAGGCATTCCGTGTGGCCGCTTCCCAGCTGGCGGCACTCCCAGGGCAGGAGCCGGTGGGTGTATTAGCCAGCCAGGTCCTGGCTTCTCAGGAAGGAAATACAGGAAAAGTTTGAATAACAGCGCTCTTTCCCGTCTACACGGAGGTGAATTTGGGGGCTGCCTTGCGTTCTCGCTTCTGAGAGGAGCAGGGGAGGAAACTGCCGCAGAACCCTGCAATCTTGTCTTCCGTGGCCGGAGGGTGCGGAACACCGAAGGTTTAGGGGGGTTGAAGGGGCGACTCTGCGAACTGCACGCACGGGAAACGGGCGACTGTCGGCAGCGGGGCTCCCCCCTGCCCCGTCACGCAGCTCTCCCCGCTGGGGCGGGAGGCAGCCCGCTTCGGCCGCTGCCGAAGGAACCTTTGGAGCGGGGCGGCAGGG